GTCTCATCCCGAACTGAATTTCCGAGACCGTAAGGTCCCCTTGTTAGTGTAAAGAGGAAAGAACCAAAAAAGAAAAAAATGTTTAATTTACGACGAAAAATACACTTTCACAACAGATGTGATCAAAACAATAGCAGGGATTTTTCAAATAAGTATTAACGTGCGAAGTCTCATCCCGAACTGAATTTCCGAGACCGTAAGGTCCCCTTGTTAGTGTAAAGAGGAAAGAACCAAAAAAGAAAAAAATGTTTAATTTACGACGAAAAATACACTTTCACAACAGATGTGATCAAAACAATAGCAGGGATTTTTCAAATAAGTATATGAGAATATTGTCTGATGTCTCACTCTCTTTCAAAAGTTTGACCAAGGTAGTTAATGCCTCATCCTGCCGTTCTAAGCACCAGGAATCGAATCTGAACGAGAACCCAGGAATCTTTTAGGAACGCAGCCTGTCCTGGATATATCGAGCCCGTCTTTCCCTACCTAATCATCGAGTTACTTCGACCTTTTATGGGTCTAGACCTTCGTATATTAAATAATATTAGAGTACACAACGATATATCTACGTATTTGTAAGTTATGAATCATAATTTCGAGAAATGCGTATTTCTAACTTTATAAACAGAATAATGCAGCTATTTCAGTAAAAATAAAAGTTATGCGACAGCTAAAAAAAAAAAAAAAATTAAATCTCAATATAATTTAGAATTTTAAAGTTATCATTATTATTATTATTATTAAGTACTGTATTTAAAAAATTTGAAACTTTTTCATTTTAGTAATAAGTTGTATTTACTTTTTGTGTATTTAACCACTTGTATTTGTATAAAATATAAATAGAATTTATCTTCTGTATTTTCGATACGTGTGAATAATGTTTATTCATGAAAATATATTTAATAAAATGTACGAAATTCCTGTATATTTTATAGAAGTAATAATAACTTTGTTATCATTTTTTAAATATTGTTTTTCAAAATGATGTAAATTGTGAAATCGTATATGTTTGCTTATCACTAGGTGGCGTTCCGTAATCAGTAGACATTCGATACTCTCGACTACCTGCTCTCTTTTCATCCGCCATTTCTGTCTTTCACTCGCTGCAGTCAGTTCGTTGACGAGCGGGCCAAGTTTCTGACATCGTTACACAACAAATTTCGACTTTCGTCAGCACTTTGGTATGTACTACAGTCTAAACATTAGAAAAAGCTAAATTTAACAGCGTAGAGGAGGTTTACGTAAAAAACTAGCTACTGTGAGTTAAAGCGAAACGGGTAAAGAACCGCCACAGGGAGGTGGTCTGAAGAGGGTGAGTGACGTTGTCGTCACGTGATTTAAAAGACAATTGGTTGAAGCTCTCACGTGATCCACGTTCCATCTGGTTATTGGTGGAAAGGTTCTACCATCCCGACCTCTATTGATTAGAAGAATAAGTTGTAATTCGGATTAAGCGAAGATTAAAGGGATTTCGATTTTTTTGTCTGTAGTCGAACATGGCATTGAAACGTATCAAAAAGGAATTGGAGGATTTGAAACGTGACCCACCTGCCCAGTGTTCTGCAGGACCTGTAGGGGATGATTTATTTCATTGGCAGGCAACCATTATGGGACCCCCAGATAGTCCTTATCAGGGAGGGGTATTTTTCTTGACCATTCATTTTCCAACAGATTATCCATTTAAACCACCTAAGGTGGCCTTTACTACACGTATATATCATCCTAATATCAACAGTAATGGTAGCATCTGCCTTGATATATTAAGATCACAATGGTCGCCAGCCCTAACAATCTCTAAAGTGTTGCTTTCAATTTGTTCACTGTTATGTGATCCAAATCCAGATGATCCATTAGTACCGGAAATTGCAAGAATCTATAAAACGGACCGTGACAAGTACAATGAGTTAGCACGTGAGTGGACCCGGAAATATGCTATGTGACATTTGCTACTAGAATGAAATTGAAGGACTTTTTCTGCCATAATTCTTGTTAGACTTCATACCTGCTGTTTTTTGATTCAAGTGTTTATGAAACCCTTCCTGCACTACATAGTGAAGAACTGCCATTTTAAGCCTCACAGGGCTGACGGTGTCATTAGTAGTATAAAAAAAAATTTAGTGACACTTGTCACAAAATACTTCATTCTTTCTAGATGAAAATCTAGTAAATTTTGTTTATCTTGATGCTACTGAGAACAATCATCTTGGATGTTGGGACAAAAATTGAAATAAAGTTAACTTTTCCAGCTTTCCTAGTAAAGTATCTTATGTATTATAAGTGAATTGATTTTACATTTTTATTCTGAATACAAATTCTTTGGCTATTCTCTTTCCAAAAAAAAAAAAGTAAAATAAACTCTTATCAAGATATGATTCTACATTGTGCTAATCTACTGTTTGTATTCAATTGTTACACTCAGAAAACCCAAGATGTAATTTCTACAGTAGTTTGTTCAGCTTGGATATCAGTTGTGAACTGTCATTTGATTGGTCATGTATCTTGTCACCGTCAGTCCTCAACCAATGCTGTTCTCTATAAAGCAGTTTTGATGGTTGTAATGATGTCTTAAGTTGTAATTTAATCTCCAGCATATTACTGACTATGCTGGTATAAAGTGTAATAAAATGGGGCAGAATATATTTGTCACTTGTGTTTTATTTTTTCCTTTAGTTTCACTTTGTTCTAAAGTTTTTAAACTGTAATATAAAGTTGCCAAACATAGAAGTCAATGAACTTCCAAATAGACTAGGTTATGGAAGGACTTAATAGAAATTGGGCTAATTTAGAAAACATCAAAAGTATTATATTCTTAAGAAGTACAGAACAAGTTAGTTTTAATTACTAAATTTTTTGAATTTAATTTATGTTGGTTTTGTTCTGTGATGTATTTAATCTAAAATATTGTATCCAAATTATTGGAAATTTCATTAGCATGAAAGATTTTTCTTATAAAGCAATGTCAAACTTCAAAGAAATTAGACTAATACAAATTGATTTCTATCAATAATAAAAATTAGCCAGATTTCTATCATTTTATAATCTCATTTTTGCAGTTCATTGGTTTTTATGTTTAGATTATTTGCTATCTGGTATGTTTTTTTTTTTCTTAAAATATACAGTATAAAATAGTTATAAATCTCATTATGATAGTAATAATGTACTTTTCTAATTACAAATTAGTTTAAATACCAGCATGGTTCAGTAATACATTTTCTATGCATCTGAAACTTTTCTAAATTATGCAGAATATTTGCATTAAGTATCCATTTGTAGCTGAAGTTCTAAAAATTAATTTTGTAATTTAAAGATTGAGAGGTGAAGAAATTCTCAATAGTTAATTCAATGGAAAGTGAAATGATTTAGTTTAAGAATTCAAAATTCAGTTTAGAATTAATAGAATGAATTGTTTCAAACAAGTTGTTAACCTTGGCATAAACTATTTCTATAAATATAAAAGAATGAACTTAAATGCAATTTTTATTTTTCTTGAACAGATTTCAGTTTGTTTAAACTGTAGCAAATGTAAATTTTTAAATGATTTAGTGAGAAAGAATGCAGCATTTTCTTCTATGAGTAAAATTTAAAATACAAGTTAAATTCAGATTTAATTCATAGGAAGAAATGCTGTATTGTTTAATACTGGTAATAAGATTACTGTATAATATTTTTACTAAATATTAAGTTAATTATAAGTTACTTTTGTTCAGTAGAATTTTTTTTATTTGGAAACCTTTTCAAGTTATGGAGAATGAAGCAATATAATGTCCTGATAGTATAAGGAATCTTTTTTATCAACAAGATTATTGAACTAGTTTAAATTATAACTTATTCTACTGTTCATTTTTTATAATGTAAAAAAATAGCTTGGTAAATTCTCTTCTTTTAAAAGCTATTCTTAGGTTAATTAAATTTGCAAATTAAGTTTTAGTATAAAAATACTTTCAGTTTAGATATAAACAAAAATGATATTTGAACATACAGAACATTCAAACAGAAATGATACTAAATATCTTGAGTATTTAGTTCATTGAAAAAACGACAAAAGTAAGAATCCAAAAAGTATTTTAAGTATAATAGCTAATATAATAGCTATGATTTTTAAGTTAAAAGAAATTTTAGGAAACCAGAACTATGAAAATTAATCATTTTTGACTATGATGATAATTAAATGTTTTAATTATGCATATTCTAATAGATAGTGCATCCCTTCCATAGTTACTCCATTCAGACAAATTTCGCTTTTGCGACTTTCATGCCATCAGTAAACATGGCATGAAAATAATCACTACATGAAGCTATGAGCATGAAATGATTGGCCTCTAGCTATCGGAGTGACATCTAATAAACTTTTACTTCATAAAGCATTTAATCCACTTAATATCCCTATGTGACAAAGAGATTCAAAATGAGTTGTATTGTAAGATGTGCTTGAAACAACACGTCTGATCTCTCTCATCTTTTTATATCTAAGTATAATCATAAGCAGGTGATAAAAAGTGAACCCAATATAGTGACATCTTCATTATTAATTTTCACTGTATTTCAGCATATCTGTAATAAGTTTCCATTGTTCAACACTGTCTTTCTATTTGTTAGTAATAAATTAAGATATAATCATAACCAATGCACATTTTTTAATCTTTTTTCAATGTTTTTCTCTCAAATTGGCTTCCAAGATGGATGACAAATGTCATGAAATGTTTTAATTATTAGACTTAAAATAATGTATGAAAACTGGTAATATCACTAATAATTTGAATTGCTATTTACTATAGTGTTTCTAATGAATTATTTTTTAATGTGATCGTTATTGGCATTTTATATCAGGAAAGTTAAAGTGCTGTAATGAATTGTCATAGATATTTATTACATATTAGAGCAATTTTTTAAGTATAAACTCTTACAATAAAGCTAGATGCAACTATACAACACAAGTGTTGAAGGAAAATAGTAATGGAGATGTACTGTTCTACAAGGTGACTGACTCACTTGGGACTGAACACTTTGTTCAATACCTCATGATTGTACAGTCACATTTGAACAACATAGTGTAAAACATACCTTGGTTGACTCTTCATGACATAATAATTCTGTTCATGCTTCATTTTTTTCATTTTATACAGATATTCCACATAAGTGTTCAATCCTGAGTGAATCACTCTATAGCTTCTATATATTAAAAACTATATTATGCAAATGCAACTGTAGATTCTGAACATTTAAATCAGGAATTAAAAGAATGGCATAGAAGTCTAATAAAACAGTAAACAACCAAATTCAAAGAATGCAATATTTTGATAAGATCAGATTTCTAATAATTTTCATGTATTATAATTCTGCAATTCTTTTCAGAAGTAAATTACACACACCTTTGAATCAAATTTATTCTGAAGTTTTTTCTGACAGTCATTCAATAGAGGAAAAGTTAATGAAAATAATCTTTATTAGCATAAAGAGAAAACACCCTGTTGCTGCAAGGGCAGTGTTATTACAAATATATAAATAATTTATTTTATAAATATCTCATCATTAATTACAACATTTTTTAAGTTATATTCTAACAAATTTTTGAACTTAGATGACTATTTCTTAATTTCATTTATTCTTAACGATTTTATTGATATAATTACACAGATTATACAGTTCCATCTTTAAAAGTTTGTTTTCTGTAAAATCCTGGGTTTTACTTTGCTGAAGTACTGTACATGTGATATTTTAATGATTCTCATCTTCATAAGTTTCTTACAATCCTGAAGAATGTGCAATTTAGAGAAATCACTATAATTACACCATTGAAATATGTATTAAAGAATTTCATACACATGTTTAATAAAGAAAAATTTAATTAGCCGAAAACTTTTCTGAGTTACTTAATTGAAAATTAAATCTGTAGTGTAAAGGAAATAGCTTAATATAAGATAGTAAGTGATAGTTTATTCAGTAATTTATATTTGAACTGATTTTGCAGAGTAAGCAGTGTATTTAGATTAATTTCACAAGTTAATTATGGATATTATCTCAAATAAGTAATCTGGGATATATAATTAGAGGAATAACATTTGAACAAAGATTTATTCAGTTTTATTAATACATAAAACAATTTAAAAGTTTTAAAATTATCTGTATTTTTCTCTTGTAAACCATGGAAACTAAATGAAGACAAATATATAATACTCTCATGTTTTATAATGTACAGTACAGTACATTGAACCAATAATATGGCCTTTTGACATGTAGACTTATTTTTGCCACAATGTGATTTGTTTAAATATTATTTGATCATGTAACAATTATTAAATTTTATAGGTTTACTTCAAAGTCTACATTATAGACAAACTTTATGTGAAAGCTTTTTATCAGTTAAATTACATTTATTTCATGAATATAATACTCAATAAACCATTATAAATTAAAATTTGGATAACTTTTTTTTTATCATTTTAAATATTTTAAA